TATATATATATATATATATATATATAATCCAGTTTTGCCCTTCAGTTTAGACAAAATAGTTTTAAAAAGTTTGATTCCGACTGGATTGACAAGCTAACGACTAGCCTGAGCAAGTTCAACAAAATTGCTGTTCCAAAATTAGCTCCAATTTCAAAAATATCAAAGCGGTTCATGTGATGTCTTTTAAAATAAACTTTCACATTATTATAAATCTTTTTATTACATGGTTATTGAATTTTATGATTATGTGCAAGCGCTAATAGCGGCTATAGCTAGCCCGCTCAAACAGCTAGCAGCTAGCTGTAGCATTTCCGGTGCCGATTGAAGGAATATTATGATATTTCTAATAAATAGCAATTCAAAACTGGCTGTGAAATAAAAGCTTATCAAACTGTTTGCTTTAAGCACTATAAAACTTTTCAGACTGTCGTTATTTCAAGTCATATTAAGACAGCAGCGCTTTATTTTCTGTTAGCTCGTCAGTCTGGATGAATTACCAGTAAACTACTTTTCACCCTGAGGTCATTCAAACCCATCCGCAGCAGGTAAGATATTAATTCTTAATAACGTTTCCACAGAACCCCGCTTCAAAAGAACCGAACTGTCTTTTTTAATAATGGCTTGAAGCTGCTACGTTGTCAAGTTAACTTTAACCCACAGCTTAAAAACTGCCACAGTCTCACAGTATAGATGTAGAGAGCTGGAAACCAAAGTAAACCTGTATTAATCTTTCATCTAAAATAAAAAATAACCTCAGTTCACTGAGAGGTTTCTGTGTATAGGCTTTGTGTAGTGTTACTGTACTCTCAGCTTCACTTTTTGTCAGCTTCGTGCTCAGATAACTCAGTGCTCACGTGTAAAAAAAATGTCAACCTAAACCTCCTCTCAGTTGAAAACATGTGATGTTCATGTGTGTGTGTGTGTGTGTGTGTGTGTGTGTAAAACAGAATAGCAATATACTGTAATTTTTATATTCTCTGTGCATTTATGAATGTAGCACTGTTTTACGTCTATACTCACAAACCTGTAGCACTTATAAAAAACAAGAAAGAAAAGTGGACTGTGTTTTTGTTTACTGCTATATCCACAATAAGCTATAGTGGGATCATGTTGTTCCTATAACAATAAATCAGATTTCTGGCGCAGATGCCTTCATGTCTGCTTTTTATTTTTTTATTTTTGCCCCCCTTCTGTCTGTTATTGATTCTCAGCTGCCTCTCGGAGACTGTCAGCATGGCAGAAAGAGAATAAGAGATGTTTTAGGTGAAGAGCAGCGCGCTGCTTTGATTATCCGTTATCTATCAGAGGCCTGCGAGCCTGATTGTGTCGAGGCGACTGTCTCCTCGTGAAGGGGCCGCACCCAGGCAAGACATCAAAGCTGTCCCCAAACGCTGCACTTGTCATCTTCAAGCTCCATACGCTGCTAAATATGAGTGCAAAGGAGGGGTGGTGGGAGAGAGGGGGTGAAAAAACACCCTCAAATGCCCTGGGGCCAGGTTTTTGTACACCCCTCGCCTCTGCTCTGATCACACTCGTCTTCAAAGGCTGGGGCCTCTTCTTCGCTGCTCTGTGGAATTTGTGCAAAAGCATGATGCAGTAAAAACTAATGTTGAAAGAGTCGAGCGGGAGCAAGAAAATGAGGGGAAAGTGGTAATGGATGGTGTGTACGGATATATCCCCGGAGGAGGCCTACAGCAAGTGGAGGGAAGTTCATTTGGACTAACACACACGCATACACACACGCCTCCCTTACTTCAACATCCCTCCTCTCGCTCGCACTTGCCATGCATATAAAATGCATGACACGCTCTGAAGAGGAATTTTAAATCAAGTCCAAGACTTTCAAAAGCGAGTCCAGTGTGAGCGTTAGGAGAAAAAAAAAGATGGGCAGCACATTGAGGAGGAGGAGGTGGAGAAGCCCTCCCTCCCTCCTCCTCTTCTGCTTTAGGGCTACAAGGTGTGAAGGCCTTCCCAGAGCTGGATATCACAGGGGGGATTGGGAGATCAAAGCAGATTGTCTAGAGGAAGCCTGGTCCGGTTTTACCCCTTCATTTGGCAGTCCATCAGATCCACCTCATTTAGAGGCAACCTCCTAAAAACTTCCTGCTGAAATCCAGCGATTACTTTTTAAACTTGTTACAAAAAAAAGAAAAAGAGGAAAAATCTGCACTGAAAAATCGTTAATCTCTTACTGGATTATAAACTGAGAAAGTGGTTTCTTCATTAGAGCAGGAAGGGGTCAAGTGCAAAGCCTGGAAGTGTAAAAAGAGCATCACCTTGTGGCTGCTTCCCTCCTAAACATGACAGCTGATTTCTCTCAGCAGACAGAAATAGAAGAGATGAATCATCAGCTGTGATCATGTTCAGAAGAAATAAAGTCTGTCAGTTTCCAGACTCCCTTTCTGGCATATTTGCCAATCCCTGCTCTAACACATCCTCAGGGCAGCGAGCCACGAGGAGAAAACAGGGTTTAGAGCTCGGTGAGGACCGTTCAGCTGTCAGCTGGCTCCATGAGAGACGAGCACCTCAATCTGACATGATAATCAGCAGTGTGTGTGTGTGTGTGTGTGTGTGTGGGTGTGTGTGTGTGTGTGTGTGTGAGCATGGATCAAACCCCAAACTGTTAAAAGTGAGAAAACTTCAAGCCCAGGCGATTTTGGCACAAAGCATCATTAGTTGTGGAAAAAGGTTTAGGATGTAGAGGAGAAAAGGAGAATTATCTCGTTGCACCTCCATTGTTGAAGTAACAAGTTATCCTGATGGGACGTCAATTCCTAAAATATCACTTTTGACTAAAGTAAAACTTCTTGAATCCATTTATTTGCTTTTCTTCTTTCTGGACATTAAATATTGATTTCAAGTTGAGTAATTTAGACTTGTTTTACATAAACTCTTCATTTTTTGTTACTCTAGATGTTTGCCAAAATTTGTATTTAAACAACATATGGAAAAGTGGTGTGCAAGTTAAAAATACAAACTGTTCTGCAAGAGTTGGGCTGTTGAATAAATATAATTAAAAACAGAACACACCTTTTTTTTCCCAAGCCTCAAAATGATCAATATTTTTTATCCAAAATGGCAAACAGCAAACACTAAATGTTAAAGATGGTGTATCCCATTTTGGGGTATAAAAAGGTAAAAATAATTTGATAGTAAATTTAAAATCGGTTTAAAGGCCTTGCTCAAGGGCCCACAGTGAGGCAGGTTCCTTCTCGCAATCCGATGTGGCAGTCTGAGGATTCGAGCCTGCAACCTTCCAGTCACAGGAAGGCCTTCTCTGGTCTCTGTGCAACCACCCGTCCATCAATGGCAGCTGCATCTAATAAGGTTAATTCACAACAGGTCAGTGAAAGGACTGGACATAAAAAGAGTCTATGAGAAGTAAAGATGGGCAGAGGTTCACTAGTCTGAAAAACTGTCTTAGTGTTACGAGTTCATATTTCTTAAATTAATATTTTTAAGATTGTTAGTCAGTCATGTAATTCATGTTATCAAGAGTTTAATAGAAATATCTGAACCCAAAGGACAAAGGTTTTAGATGTTCATGATCTTCACTGCATGACAAGAAGGGTTAGAAGAGTTTTTCTTTAAACCACTCCTTTTCATTCAGAACTTTTGTTCATGTCAACATGTGACGTATTTATTTTAAACTGTGAATGAATGAAAAAAAAAAAAAGAAATCAGGTCTGATTCGGTTCTGGACATCACTATGTGGACTCAGGAACAATTCTGCAAATGGTCATCTGTAAACACAGCAATACACAGAAGCTGGATAAAGCTCTATCATGCAAAGATGAAGCCATCAGTGAACACCATCCAGAAACATCACCTCCTTCTCTTGACTGAGCTCATCTAAAATGCACAGAGTGAAAGGTGGAAACCTGTTCTGTGGTCAGACTAATCAAAATTTATTATTCTTTTGTAAATGACAGATGCCACATCCTTCATGTTACAAAACCATCTGGCTAATTATCAGAGCTGTTTAAAATTAAAATACATAAAATACACTGTATTATATATTATTGTTTAGCATGCATCTTAGATGGTTTCTTTTTATTCTATTTTTGGGTGTAACTGGGACCTTGAGTACACAATTTCGTTCCACCTCATGTACCACTTGATGCGAATGACAAGTCACCTTGAAAAAAAAAAAAAAAAACCTGCCAATCTGATGGTAAAATGGTGCATTATTGTCTGTGGCATGTGCAGCCAACACATCAAAAGCACAGTCATTGCAGCAAAGTGTAGTTTTTTTAAGATGTGCTTCCATCTGGACAGCTTACTTGTCAAGTCTTACATATTTCAGTAAGACGATGCTAAACTTCATACTGCATCCATTACAGCATGGCCTCAATAGAAGAGTCCAGGTGTTGAACTGGCCTGCCTGAAGTCCAGGCCACTCACCATCAGCCTCATTCACAAGAAGCCCACTCTGGGACTGAGATGTGTTCTGGTCACCTCAGCCCATTCAAGAGGCAGCACACCACCGATGCATCTGTGCCACCGAGCAAGGAGGTCACAGGGCCAGCGTGTGAAGAAAAACTCAAAAAGATATGCAAAGCTGCAGCTCAGTAATGTGATGAAAGGACAGTATTATTTGTTGCCACCCACTCGTGGGATCCAACAAGAAACAGGATTACTGAGGGAATATTGATGAAGCACAGCAACTTTGTAGTCATTTCATACAATGACACAAAGGAAATGTCTGACACACATTTAACGCATCACGCTCCGCTTCAGCCCAGCAGAGTTCTGCTCCACGTCCACATGTGAGCGGGACGTGGTGGCTTCATCTGCGACTTATGGAAGGCTAGAGGAAGCTTAGAGACAGACCGCTCCGTGCGCTCTTAATACGCCTAAACTAAAAACCTGAAAAATAAATGTACAAATACATTGAGAAACAAACATATGTAAGAAGAAATAAAAAAAAGCAGCACCCATCTCCAGAGTACATTCAGTGTCTTTATTTTTCTTCAGCCAGAAAAATGGGAAATAAACAGAAAGTAACACATTCATTCAGCTGAAGTGTAATTTGTCATGCTTGAACATTTACAGTACATGTTGATCTGATACAAAGTTTCTCTGAACTAGACATATTGCCACGATATATTTACAAAAATAACATTAAAACTGCAGAATCTTTAAACACATTCATAAAAATAAAGCTTTCTGTCACACTTGATCTTGTTTTCTTTGCCGAGAACAAATCCTTTTACAGTTGAAGACGGAGATGAGTTCTGTCGAGCTCCAGCCGAGATGAACGAGTCACTTTGCATATTTGTATGAAGCTTTAAAAACATTTAGGAGGAAGGAAAAAAAAAAAAAGATGCATTTAACCCTCTAAAATCATTTGGAAACCTGGTCTCACCGATGCAGAACTCAACCATTTAAAGTGTTCCCGTTTCCTCTGAGCTCCATAAATCCAATACAATGTAGCCAAATGAAGTTAAAAATATATATATATATTACCATCTATGTCCATATTTCAGAGACATTACGATCTGAAACAACCATTTTTGAAGCGGGGCGGGGACCAAAGGCACAAATAAGAAGTGAGTGGTCTGTGTTGGCAGCAGCAAGCCTTTTCTTTAATAACAGTCATTAACTCACTGTGGGTCGTGTGTTTGTGCTGCTAAAGTAACTGTTGCATCTGTGAACGCTCACCTGGGGCCGAACATATCAGCTGTAAAACGTAACTGAAGACAGCAGCATGAATGTAGCTACACTGATGCCCAGATCCACCAGACACCCGTTGTCTGGCCCCTGAAGAGGGCGGGAACAGATGTGCCTATAGGTGTGTGCGTATTCTTTACATCTATATCATCTGATCAGTGTTCCAACAGAGAGAGGAAAAAATAAATCAATTCTCTGTGCAGAGTCCACGCCACTCAGCCGTCAAACTCTTTGGATTCAAAGCCTTTTCACTGCACACAGACTCCAGGCGTCTCCAGGACCTTCACGCTCTCTCTCCATCTACCTGAACGTTTCAATGTATTCATTCCGTTTTTAAATCACGTCAGTCGACACGCAGCCCTCTCATTCAGTCAGGCTCTCCTCCTTACAGGCATCTGGAACGACAACAGAAGAAAAAACAGCCGTTTTAGAAATAAACATGTACAAAGAGCACAGCGGTGGTCATCAATTGGAGACAAGGGCATGAAAGCAAACACATTCTTAATGTTAGACACGCGTATAAATCAAAACATTAGAACCGCTAAAGTAAAAATGTGTAGTTCCTCCTAAAGAAACTGCTGAGCAGTCTCGGGGCGACCCCTAGGACGTTGTTCTGTGGGTTCCAGAGGGAACACGGTGGTTCTGGTATGAGCCAGAAGCTGGGAGGTGTTTGGACTCTATCGTGTTTACTGAGCTGCTCTGTATGTCCTGGGACAAACTATCCTGCTGAAGGAGGCTGCTGCAATAAACGAGTGAAACTTGTGTAACAGCAGAACCTTTTCCCACTTGATGATTTCATTACATTCCTACCACTGCTCACCTTTTCTCACGCACACTGACCAAACAAAAACAGCAGAGTACCACCACACCTTCAGGAGGAAACGGGCTCGTGTTAGCATGAGACACTGTTATCGTTCCGCCTGCTTGTAATCGATACATTTGACTCGTCAGCCTAAAGTGAACTTTCTGTTTTCAAAATCTTTTTCAAGTGCTCCACAACTGACCCCTGTTTTCGACTGTAACCAGCTGAAGCAGCTTCTCTCAGACTGAGGTTATGTCAATACACACAGACTGAGCGGAGAGAAACGCGTCAATGATTTCTGGGTTAAACTTTGGAGTCGATCAATGACCGTGTGCCGTGTTTTCTTCGCAAACGCATCGCGCTAACTTTGATCTGGAGGAGCTACAACCACAACATGCAGCTGCTATCCCACACTAGAGTTGGTAAAAACTAGGTTAGCTTCTTGTTTTCTTTTCAAAACACGTCAATAACAAAGTTTGCTCAAGACAAAATGCAGACACGCGGACAGATCGAACTTCAACTGAGCAGAATATCAAACATGTTTCTGCACGTAAACAACTTATTTACAGGGTTCTTATCTGGAAGATGAACCAGAGAAAGCACTCAAGGCTAAAATACAAGAGCAATCCAGATTTAAATGTGTCAGCACTGCACTCAGGACGTTCACAGCAGTGTTAAAAACACTGACGAGCAAATTCGTTAGTGTTTTTTTTCTTTCTTTTAAAGCAGGGGTTCCCAACTCTGGTCCTTGAGGAACACCATCCTGCATGTTTTAGTTGTTTCTCTGCTCCGACAAACCTGATTTTAATAAATGGATGATTTACAGGCTTCTGCAGAACATGACGTAATTAAATCACTGAATCAGGTGTGCTGGAGCAGGGAAACAACTAAAACATGCAGGATGGTGTTCCTCAAGGACCAGGGTTGGGAACCACTGTTTTAAGGAACCATTTCTTGCCATCCGTTTTAAATCTGTCAGACATGTTTGGGGTTAACACTAAGGGCATAAAGTTTGAGCATTTACCAGGCAGCATAGCAAATTTACAGGCAAAAATTTTAAAGATGGAGTAGACAACACTGCAGCTTAAAGCGTCACCCTACAGGTCAAGCAGAACGTTGACGAACATCATCATGCCTGCTCTGAATCGGAGGACGAGCAGCCACGACTCAGACAGCTGCTGTTCCTACCTGGGACTGGGTTAGAGGATTGGCGGGAGGGGAAAGCTCAGGATCCAGGGCAGTGGGGGGAATGGGGGGTTACCAATGCTGAGCATCTATACCTGCAGGGCTGAGCACCAGGGCCTGGAGGATGTCTGAAAGAGAAACTATGCCCTCGATACTGGAGTGCTCATCCACCACCACCAGCCGATGCACCTGGGGTAAAATAAGAAGAAAAAAGTCAAAAACAGTTTAAAGCAAAGCTAAAATACTGTTAGGTTACCTCTGAATAACAAAATCTTTAAATATTTGTGTCTCACTTCTGCTTTGACTATTCTGTCCACAATTGTCTCCATAGTCTCCATTTTATGACACTTCATAACCCCTTCGAAGTACTGAGAGCGATGTTTCAGAGCCTGCGTCACTGTAATGTCCAAGTTGTTGTACGTCTTCTCTGCAGCCAAGTTCTGCACAAACATGAATCAAGAGATTAAAGAAGAATCAAGCCTCAAAACGAGCTGCTTTGTCTCTCCACCAACGGACAAAGTAAACTTACAATCACGTCAAACTTAGAGTAAATATCCACGACTTTGCCTGCAAGAGAGAGAAAAAAAAAAAAACAGAATGTGAAAACTGTTCACTCCGTCATAAAAATAAAAGCTCTGCAGAGTCACGATTAGTTGGTCATCATGACTTCACCTGAATCCACGACAGGCAGAGCAGAGACTCGTCTCTCCACAAAGATGTTGAGTGCTTTGATTATGGGCGTGTCTGGGTGGATGAAGGCGATGTCGTGGTACGTCCCGATGCCCAGCTCCCCCAGAGTCTGCTTCATGAACGCTGGCTTTGGCATTTCACACATCTGGAATTTACAAACACAACCAAACGAGACAAGAGAGAAACTATTTTTATTGACCACAAGAGGGAGCCAAACAAGAAAGAAAGAGACAAGCCAATTATTGAATCATCTATCCCTCTGTTCTATCCAGACTGATTACAGATGTGTCCAGCTACAGACTGATAGTGACATTGAGAAGGGGGGGGGGGGGGGGGGGACTCACAAACAGCTGGAGAAATTTGAGGATCCTCTTGTGTGTGAGAATATAAAGTGCATTCCCTGTGACAGGGTCGATGACAGGCAGGCGGTGAATTTTGTTTTTGATGAGGGTGTAAACTGCATCAAAAAGGCTTAAAAAACAACAAGAAAAGGAACATTTTATTACTAATACCTCACAGGAAGATACTCAACACGAACATCTAAAACAGTTTTAGAAAGCCCACCTTGCTTCCGGTGATATGTTGACCAGAGGTTTGAATGTTGCTTGAAGATAAACCTCTGTGGGGAAAGAATAGAAAATTAGGATTAGACTAACACTCTCACTGCATGTGTGCTGAAATAGAACAATACTCGCCTCTCCACGTCTCCAGCTTATGTTCCTCTAATTCATAAATTTGCACCTGAAACAATGAATTAAAACGAGTTTTTAAACCGTCCTACGCAGAATGTGGTCATCTGTCAGAGTGACCTACCATCGGTGACTTGTAGTATCTGTGCAGTATGATGATGAAATCTGTGATTGTCAGCATTCCTGCAGTAAAAACAGGCATCAAAACAGATCAAATCCATAAACAGAACCAAGCCTGCAGGGGTCGTGCAGCTGGGAAGAGACGGAGCACACAAGGGCGTGGTTCAAACACCCTCCCTGCTTATACTCACATTGACTTGACATTCATTATTCATCACAAGCTGAGTCAAAGCAAAGCTCAACAAATTCAACTCACCACAGGTTCGCCTTTTAACTCCAGATAACTGACAGAGACACGTTTCTGCAGCTAGTCTTCGCTCGAGTCAATTCAGACACGTCTTTCTGTGCCTAATGGTCTAAGACAGCTCGAAAATTGTCTTCTTTAAGAAACATTACGCTCCACCAGCCCTCACCATTAAAACAGCTTTTATTTATGGCAAACCAGCACAGCAATGGCATTTTCTTCTCAGTTTAGAGAAATAAATAAAAAATGGGAGATTGTTTTCTTGACTATATGTGGCAAAGTCAAATGTAGTGTAAAAAGTTTGACTTTTACATTTATGTGCCAAAGCTTTAATGTTTTAATCCAACAAATTTATGAGGGCGAACTTAAAACAGCATGTTGCAAAAAATAAAAATAAAGCTGCTTTAAAATATATGTGGCAATATTAGTCCCTAAAGTAATTAATTTAAAAAGGTATTAAATAACAAGACTTTTTATTTCTGTTAACGGGTTCTTACCCACAAAGCTTTGCTTCTCTGTGTCCCATAGCGGAGCTGCTCGAACACCGTTAGCCACCAAGGCAAAGAACGCTTTTTTAACCTGCCAAGAGACAGGGTGGAAAAAACAAAAGTCTATTCTGAGACAAAAAAAAAAAGTGACAGCATATTTCAGTCGTTGTTAACTGATCAACAAAACTGCTCAAGTAAAAATATAACCACCGTTTACTGATCCAAACTGGTCACTGTGAATCATCTCAGCTTCTCCAAACATTTTACCATAAAGGTGAGGGGAAGAGGAAGGAGATAAACTTGGGTTAAAGGCCTCATCTTTATTTTATAAAAGGAAAATAACTATTTGTGGCTCCCAGTTGTTTTTTCTTCTGTAGATGAGTAATCGTAACTCTTAGCAGTTGAAGATTTACACATCAAAGAGTGCCAACCTTTCCTGGATTATTGTTTAACAGCTTTATGGTAATATCCTCATCACCCAGAGGTTAACTCCTCCATCCTGTTTTAATGCACATCCACTTAAGAGCTGAAGGTCTGTTCAGGTCTGATCATAGGTTAGGGTGGTGTACCAACCTGGAGCGCCGTGTCGAACACAACCAACTTGGAGCTTGTGGGGACGATGTCGTAGCACTTGTGGGATTTCATGAAGCGCATGTAAATATCACTCTCGGGCTCAGCAGCTTGGAGAAACAGAAAGCAGGAAGAATATATCTTTAGGAAGGAGGAAAATCTCCCAGGGAATAAGTAATGACAGGCTGGAAACAACACATGCACACAGCCTAAACACTCATTACAGCCACGGACCACTTAGTCACTTTCCTGCTCCATCTTACAGATAATCGCTCTGCTGCTTAAGTTTTTCCACTGTTTGTGTGCTTGTTGACATTTAAAGCAAATTACTCAGATCTAAGATGAGACATTCAGACTGGGCTGGATTATGGTTTGTTTTTGTTAAAATACATAATGTGATGGCACAACATTTGTCTATGATATTATGAGCTCTACAGGTGAAATTAAACAGGAAGTGAGGGTTTTTCCAAGTTGATCCTAAAACAAAAATCGGCAAATAACTTTTATATCCTGCAGTCTTTCCATCATGCATGACGAAGTCTGAAAATTTTTAAATCGTGGCTCTTTGTTGAGTCTTTAATCTCTTCAGCCCTGAACACCTGTCTGCCCTGATGAAATACTGCTGTGTGAAATTCACAATATTTAAATGAACTGATCTATTAATAAACCATATCATGTTGAGGGAATGGTTCAGATTCATGCGAGCGGATGAATCTTTAGCTTCAGGGCTGAACTGGCTGCTTACAGCTCAGTAAAATACATGACACTGGAAACAACTGGATTCCCAGTTCTACCCCACCACCTTCACAGCGTTGAAAGGGAGCTCAGGACACTTACCATCATCATCTAGTTCAAGTTTCTCCAGCATGCCTTCGAATAAGCCGTAGACCTGCAAGAAAACAGGTAGAAGTTGAGTAAAAGCTCACGACAGCAGCACAACAACACAAACTTTGCAGTAAATCGTGAGTGACGCTGACTGTCCGCCCGCCCCCCGCAGGCCGCAGGAGACCACACAGTCTGGAGAGTCCAATAATAAAAACACACCCACTGAAACAGCCAAACAGCGTCGCTGAACACTTCACCTCGGCTAAATATACACGGTGTGACAGAAAACTCCAAGAGCTGCGGAGCCACAACTTCACCGGAGCGGTTTCACTTCAGCACACACACCCCCATACTCAAGCGCGAGGTGGAACAGTCCGGGTCCGTTTGGTGCAGGAGGAGGAACCGATGCTGCTCAACACATGCTGGCCGACATTAAACCGACAACTATAAATCACCAGCAGACATCATTCAAAACGAGTAAACGACACTGACTCACCATGAGGACGCGCGGTGTGGAGCAGAAAAGCAGGAAGCGCTGTGCCCCGAGGACACGCCCCTTCATGCAGGAAAACCTGTCTGCCGCTCCATATTAGGAAATCCTTTCCGTTGCCTAGCAGCAAGAAGCTGGGGAAGCCTTGTTCAGCGCCTCACACTAAATCAGCCACAAGACTAAAATAAAAATGAACAAAACGCAACTTCCTGACGCCTCAGCTGAGGCAGCAGGCTGAAAGTAGGTTCACCGGCTGTCCCTTAAAATAAAGAATCGTCCCGTATTTAAAAAAAAAAAAAAAAAGTTCCTTATTAAGCTAAGAAAAACACTACAAGTGACACGGTTATTGTCTAATCAGAGCTGTTTAATATTGGGTTAATTTTCTGAAGGGAAATATATATAATTCAAATATACTTTGGTTAATCTGTTTCATGTTGCTGCTGATCTGTTTCAATGTTGATGTGTTCATGCGTGCACATCTGCTCACAGACTCATGTTCATGTTTGTGCTGATGTTCAATGTTTTATGTTATGAGTGCTTAGTGTATATTTAGTTGATGTTTTTCTTAGTTCATATCTTAGATGTTATTACTGTTTTTCTTATACATTTTATTGTTGGATGTAACTGGGACCCCGTGTACATAATTTCGCTCCACCACATGTACCACATGAGGTGCGAATGACAATAAAGAAACTCTGACTCTGACTCTAACTAAATCTAATAAGCAGTTTGTTGTTTTTTGTTGTTGTTGTTGTTTGTGGCTTTTTGTCTGTTAAACAACTCTTCATTTAAGGTGGAGTTTAAAATATTTCTAACACAGAGTCCTGAATGTCTTTGCTGCTGAAGAAGAGTCATTGAAACTAAAAGTAGCAAAACACTAGTTCAAAGAAGACAAAATGCTAAATGCTGCTGGCTAAAAGCCAAAAGGCTAGCTTAAAGGTAATACAATGTTAGCTAAGAGCTAAGGCTAGTTAAAAGTAGCTAAATGAAAGCTAAAAGTCAAACAAGGCTATAAAGTCGCCAAGCAGACACTGATTCTTATTATTTTCAAACACTTCTAACATATATCAGTTTGTTGAATGATTAATCTCCTTAATGACGTTGCTCTTTGCAGAACGAGTGTTCAACAGCTAAATATGATTGAGACAAAAACGTTGCTCGTCTCTCAGCACCACCCTGTCCAACCAGCGTTCCTTATTTCACTTTCTAAAAGTTGACAACCCAATCTGAAATTGTGCCACCAAAACTGTCAACGTGCTGAAAATATGCTGCATCACGCTCATAAAAATGTTTGTTAAAATGATTTTTTGTGTCCCGACCTCCAAGCGCCTTCTCATCCAACCTTTCAGCTAGTCTGAGAAAAACTGCACTCCTGCTCAGGATGCTCTCCAGTCCCCCTGTGTCACCCTGCAATGATGACGCAGCACTCCTCCAAAAATCTACCTCTGCACTTTCATAAATCTGGCCCCGCTGCACTTACAGCAGGCATCTGGCCTGCCTCTTTTTCTTAACAATCCTCCAGGAGGCACACAAACCCATTCAGTTAATTGCATTTGAATTCCCCCCTGGTAAACTGCACCTCCAGATCATTTTCTGAGGCTCTTGTGTGTGTGATGGAGAGACACAGAGTGAACCCAAGTCCCTGGGTGTTAATATCAACACTGGTGATGAAATATTGATTCTCCATCTCTGCCTCAAATCTACTATCACTCCAGGCAGACAGATTGAGACAGGGCTTCAGATAATTATTTCTTCTAACAGCGCAGTGAGTCATGTAGCAATTCCACTCTCGCTGAAGGTAATCTGCCATCACATCGTGGCTCGCACCGCCAGAATCCCATCGTAGCTGATATCCAATTCAGTTTGAGGTAAGACCCAAATGTCAAGACAAAATGTACATGCTACATTCTGCTGCAAGGTGCTCAGAGCAAATACAGTCCTACTGAAAATGCTCAACAGCTCTCTGTGTTGGCATCAGTGGTTTTCACCACCAGCACCACCTAAATACACCCTTATGACTCCGAGTAAATAGAGACATGAGTCCCAGAAGGTGTCCAAGGGTGCTGTTATGCATCCAAAAAGGAAAATTAAAGTTTTAATTCTCAAGATCCCATGATCCGTCCAGCTAAAATTGTTTGTGATATTAAAAAGTGTTCAAATACAGCATATTACTCGTGAGAAAATAAAATTTAGTTCAATGATGTGTCTCATTCAGGAAGTAAATGAACATTCTTACCATCTCCGATAAATGACACGATAAACTGATAAATTATATGCTCTAACGAGGTGCCTGAAGTCATCACCCCCCCCCCCCCACACACACACACACACACAATGTCTGAACAGACTTCTTTCAGAGAGCAGTTTGAGTTTTCAAGGACAAAAGTTAGAGAAGCTGCAGAAAACTCTCAGCTCAGAAGAAATGAAGCCTCTTCATCTTTAGCTCAGCACTTAGCTTCATTCAACTCGTGCATCTTTCAGTTTATCTCAAATATGGGAAGTCAAAACTTCTAGCTGCTGTAAGAAATGATTTGCATGTAATCCATTTTCTCCAAGTATAGCTAAAAGTAAACAAAGTTGGATTCTTAACAAATGTATTAAAACGTGCTTGTGTGACTCACTTGTTGTGAGGTAGAGTAGGGTGGCACAGGGCTCGTTGAAGGGATCCGGGATTTGGCAGAGAGGAAGCTGGGACGCTGTCCTGTGTCCGACGGGGTGGAGAGGGACCGGGCTCGAGAGCTGGGCTCCAGGCGGTCGATGCTGGGGCCACTCTGCTGGGCCTCCTGGCTCAGCATAGGCTGGCTGAATGCCTGGGTCGGGGTGGAGGGCGGCGTCGAGAATCCAGAAGCTGCAGATAAAGAAAAGGTCCCGGGGAGATTTCTCAGCTTAACTCTTGCTTCTTTTGATTTTTATCCTTCCAGCTTTCAGAGAACCTGATTGACATCACTGAAAGGGGTTTACTGGAGAAACTGTGCTGCTTCAGATGCAATCGGTGCTCTCAGCTGTTACGTTGGAGAGAGAATGCCTCCTCATGAATGCATTGATCTTGGACAGATGAAAACTACACAGATACAGTGATAAAACATCAACACAGGTATTAATACATTAATCACACTAGTATAATAGGTTGGCTTGAAAACCACACATAAAAAAAAGTATTTGTGGTGAAACCATGAAAACATGTTCATTCTCATGCAGTATTATGAGATGTCACACTCAGAGTACTGTATGACTCTCAGCTACTACCACACCAAATCTTAGCTCATTAGCTCATATTCCAGCTGGAACAAGACTAGAACAGTTAAACAGATCTGTACTTTATGAACGTTTAATTAAAATGCATTTAGAGGTCTCAAGTTATTTTGCTAACAAAGTTGACCCCCAAGATTTTATATTTCAGAATGTGCAGCATTTCTGCCATAAATGAATTTCAGCAAACAGAGTTGAGTCTAAATAGTTATTGACAACATTTTAAACAAAAGTCTTGAGCAGTCCTGCGCTCACAATGGACTGTGATAAATGGACTGTACTTATATAGGTCCTATCTTATGAAGACACTCACAGTGCTTTATACTACAATCTTTAACCCTTCATACAGCACTCTACTAGATCTCTACAAAGACTAGTCAGTACTTTATCACATCCATACACTGATGGGACACACATCAGAGGCAATGAGGGGTTCAGTGTCTTGCACAGGGACACTTCGGCATGTGACTGCTGGTGGATTCGAACTCCCAACTCTTGCATTGGAGGACGACTGCTCTAACCGCTAAGCCATGGCCGCCCTCACAATGTGCTGTGGATCAGTCTCAGCTACTACCACACCAAATATTAGTCAATTTTACAAACACTGACCTAAGTTTTAGCCATTTGTGTGTGTGTTTTTTTAAGGCCAGCTGGTTGTGGCAGCAATCTCAGTTGGAGTTAACTTCAAAACTTTATCAGCTGTAGATGTACATCCAATGATTACTTTCTGCAAGGTTCATTAAAACACATTCAGAGGTTCTGACCCATAAATACACACATAAAAGCATTATCTCTGCTTTATCTTAAAAACACACAAATAGGATTTTGGATTTTCTTTGTTCTAAATTTTAAAGCCACTTGTGATTTTTGTTATATTTACAACCGTGATGATGATTGGGGGAAGTACTAACTACTATTTATTTATTTTTTTAATTCTAGTGTAGATTTTCATGTTTTTTTTTTTGGGGTCAGTACATTAGCACCCCCTCTGACAAATCTCAAAATGAAGGAATGAGAATAACCCCCTACATGGTGTTTTATTAACTCTCATCCAAGACCCACGAGGGGACAGTAATTATATTCAGCTTGAGCTCATAATTACCCTAAAGTAAAAACATGTGTTGTTAACAGCTCACCGTTTTGTTCAGTAATTTACTATGTTCCACCTGTTCTTCATTCTCCTCATTGGTTAAAACTCGCACATAATCAGTTATGTCTTTGACTTAAAAAAAAAAAAAAAGCAAACAGGATGCAGTTTGGATACCCTGAAGACGTTTTAAATATAAATGTGATTGCACCATTTGTTGGAAGTTTCCCAAGAGCATCACTTATGATTAAATAATCATATCCCTGACTTTAAGGTTTTACTTGTTCCTGGAACATTCTACACTGCAGCAAACAAACAGCTGTTGACATCTGCATCCTCCCGACAGTGCTCATAAAAATTCACCCAGGGCAGTCCAAGGCTCGGCTCATGAATAAATGCAAATTAATGCTGTAAGAAGTGATCAATAATGAATCTATTCAGCATCGTTATCTTTCTTCTCTTCCTGGTGTTGCTTCTTTAGAACCTGCTGTCTGTGATGCAGCTGCTCCCGCTGAGGTGTCCCATCCAGGGCGTACGTCACAGGCTCGTTTACGTCTGGCACCATCGTCCTACGTGGGTCGACATGTGACACCCACGCTGCTACAGCTCGTCCCCAGGGACACATTTCTGGGACCGGACAATATGTGACATTAACTATGTGGGCCAAATAGTTGCCATTATGAGCTGTTCAGCACGAGATGCACAGGTGACCTTTATTATGACTAATGCTGGCGTGAATCAAAAGGTTAACTCGGTCAACACCACGAGATTATTAGTCTAAATAAATATTTAACGGAGATAAAAAGCTTCATTATTTAAATGTTAGCAAGTCTCTTCACTGGTTTAAGAAAGTTACTGCGTCTCAGTTAATTGTAAAAACAGTTCTTAAAACCATCAGCTTCAAAGCTGCCATTAAAAACTGAATATTATTGTCGTTAAAAAAGGTATCTTACACTTTTCCTACAGCAACCCCAGTGTGTTAAGTGCACATTTTTTCTCCACACTATCTCTTGACATTTAGTTGGCGCTGACGGTCCCTCTTTGGTGCGCCCAGCTTCCGCTGTGAGGCCTTCTTTTTTTAGCCACGCTGTTGTGGCACATTCCACAGGAGCAGATAACAGCGAGGCTGCGAGCCCCCTCATCTATCTGGCTAATGGAGGGCAGTTAGGCACCACCAAGGAAAACGGGACATGGATGCATTTCTGTAAAGTACATAAATCCTTCAAAGTTACCAAAGATGATAAGATTCTGGTGTTATAGACTCAGACTAAACAAGAAAGTCTGACTTGACACCTCTTTTCAATCTGATTTTCTATAAGTAATCTATTATGCAGCTCTTTAAATTAGAGATTAATAATGAAATGCATTTTCTTTCTAACTTAACAACCCCCCCCACCCCCATATACCAAACACTTTTCCAACAGCTCAAATCTGAGGAGTCCTACTATGTTTAAAGTATCTGATAGTTTGACTCTCAGATAAACAAGAATTGGCATCGATGCATTTCCCAAAAATCTGGCATTTAAAGAAAAATATTTTCATAAATAAAAAAGCACCAAGTAGATTAGTTAATACCAGGGTTATTCAACTAAAGTGCTCAGGGAGCCACAGTTACTGAAAGCCAAGAGCTCAGGGGCCAGACATACAGCAGTTATTGTCATTAAGTAAGTTTGTTTCATGGTTTAAAATCTAGTTGTTGTTTTTTAAATGACGGGCTGAACCGAGTTCATCCATGGGCCTGATTTGGCCCCTGGGCCACCAGTTGAATAGCCCTGATTTATACTAAAATAATTTTTACCTTAAATCTAGATCTCAAATAAAATGTTCATCTTCCAACCGAAAGATACCTGACTGCATATGTATATAATACTTGCAAAAATCTATTTATAAACAAATAAAAATAACTTCTGCAAATGTGATTGAAAGTATGAGGAAAAGATGTGTGCCGGTAATTATTGATCTCTAGCCAAACTATTCAACACGAGCGTTAATAACAGATTTTTACGGCGACAACGTGTTAGAGTAACACCCATAAAAGTGGATCTTCTCCGTCGAGTAGCTCCCTGAGGAATTGATAGGGTGTTTTTAGTCACATAGAGCCACACTGTCTCTTAAAGCAACACGCCTCATTTGTTAAGCTTGGTGCAGCACTGAGGCTCGTACAGCTCCAGAGAACACAACGCTGCAAAATCTTTACACCATAAACATCAGCTGGTCACTAATGGAAAAATGTGCAATAGCTACAATTCACATTGGATTTATAATATTTATAACATTTGATTTATCAAATAGGAAACTGCTCATCTAGTATCTGCATCAAGACACCAAATGTAAAAAAAAAAAACAATTGAAACTATAGAATTGCTAGGAAACATAGATGTCTTCTGGAGTAACGTCACAAAATATTAAATGCAGAAGTCAAACTCCGAAAGACTGCAGTAAACAAAAAGAAACGCGGTTTCATCTTGCGCAGTGCTGCGGCTCTGGATCAAAGGACTTCAGGCTGAAGTGTCATCAGGTCATAGAAACGCTGCATCTTATACAGCCACACATACACTAGATGTAAATCACACCGACACAACTCAGCTCCTCTCATCTGTTTAACCGGGGCCAGCTTGGCGCTGTGTTAGCAACTCTGTCCATTCTGTTTCCTGCATTGTTTTCAGTTTCCTGTAATGAAAACCTGAAGGATAATTAATTACATGTGGAGCTGCTGCGCCCATGCAGAGAAATAAAAAGTCTGCAAACATCCAATTCAGGATGATCTGACAGCTTCAGCTGCACTTTGATTATGTGTTTTCAATGGACGAGTTATTCTGAATTCCCTCTGGATGTGGGACAGAATAAATGACAATGATGAGAGACACAAAGATAAATTACTGTACAAGCATAGGTAACAGAAAATAAGTCATCTCACGTTAACGCTGCAGCTGCATGTCAAGTATTGTAATAATTACCATGCAGCTTGAGGACACTGAAGCTGCTTCTTTATGAATTGCTAATTGCTCAGCCTGTGTCAGCCCACTGCTTTAACGTCTTTCAGTCGTGTTCTAACACTTGTCCAGATGCACGGCAGGCACTTGTGAAAACAAAGATCAGCTGTGTTAGCAGCACCTTAACTTAATGTAGCACCCTCAGTAATGATACCGAGAAACACTGCTACATAGCTGCTGCATCATCAGACAAATCACATCTTTTAGTCTTCATCTCTTTTTCAGCCTTTTAACCAGAACAAAGATTTATATATAAGATTCTGAAATGTGTTTTTAAAGAACGTCATTGCCAAAAAAAAGCTAAGAAGATGAAGTAGCAGGTTGTTTGGAATAAAAGAAGACATTTGTACTCCATTGAACATATTTTGTTGTCTGAAACTTTATATGGGGAATTCTTACTCCAGAGTCCTATGAAATAAAAATCACGTGTCATCCGTTTGTAGCATAATGCTTTTATTAGAAGAAAAAAAAATGCAAGTCATAATAAAAGCTCCAGAGAGCATCCTGACTTAGGCAGGC